AGATAAAGTTTAAACCATCATTTTAAAGAAAAAAAATATTTTGCTTTACAACATAACCTGCATGAACTAGAAGATCTTTTAGTCTGAGACTGGAAAGATGCTGAACTACTTGGACCTGGACATGCGGCATTTCTATCAGTCCTTTCAGGATCATCAGCTACTGGGAAGGTCTGTTGATTGTTCTGCAGATTTGAGTGATGCCTGTCTAAAGCTCTTATCCAGACAGATTCTTCTGTTGTGGGCCTAGGTGTAGCTGTGCATGGAGACTGGCTTCCATTTGTGACAGGATTTGCTTCTAAAATGTTAAGTTAAGATATAGAAATAGAAATTCTTGTAAAGATTTTCAGTAAAAACAAATCAAACATACTGACAATAACCTGAATGTTTCATATGTGACATGATGATAAATACCATAAAGTGGCGGTATCTGAAACATTTTTTTTTTTGTTTTATTTCATAGTATATTATATTGAATGTTTCTTAAAGATTTTTTTTTTAAATTGATCTATAAAATGGGTAAAAATAATTCGTTTCATAAAGAACTTGGTTCCACTTTTGCTTAATTTTTCAACTTTTTTGATGCATAAGATATAAGCATATGATGGATGACTTTGTGGTTATGTTAAAAGAGACATGCTACTTTTTTGCTTGTATTTGTTTGTTTGTTTGTTTGTTTTTATTTTCTTTATTTTTTTAGTTTTAGGAGACCACTATGTAAAGACCCCTCTTTAATGTAGTACTGGATTGAGGGTTTTTTTTCAATTTGAAAGTAGAAGTACAAAGAGGTATAACTCAAGATTATTCATTTACAAGAAATAAGAAACAGGCTATAGCCTTTCATCTATGGTATAAGCAACTAGTAAGTTCTTATCTGTATATCAAATTAGATATTTTGAACTAAATTAGTGGTTGTTTATATTGATTAGAACAGTTTCATCACTTCAAACCAGTTTTTGATTCTTAAGTCGTATCTCCTTATAAATTTATTTTTGGATGTTACAAGGGACAAAAATGCGGCAAAAGCAAAACAACACGATGAGGAAATAAAATTGAGAATGGAAATTGGGAATGTGTCAAAGGGCAACAACCCGACCAAAGAGTAGAAAACAGCCGAAGGCCACCAACGGGTCTTCAATACAGCAGGAAAATCCAGCATCCGAAGGCGTGCTTCAGCTGGCCCCTAAACAAAAATGTGTACTAGTTCAGTGATAATGGACGTCATTCTAAACTCCGAAATATATAAATTTTGCAGTCAAAATAAACATTAATAATGGTTATATACTGTTTTAACATGTTAAGGATATTCGAATGTAAAGAACGTAAGTGGATGATTCAATTCTTTATATACAAGTGACTACTAATGACACAATCGTATGATTAGGAGGGTAGATTTCGCACATATTTTTAAAACATGTAAAGATCAAAGATATTTAAAGCGAGGAAATCCCATGCTATGGGAAACCCTTCTGTCAAAGCAGACGATCGTTAGCGTAAACTTATTTCTGCATTTACAGGTTAAAAAATCAAAGTTTTTAAGGTAGCACAATACAAAGATTTTTTCACCCCCAATCAGACAACTTTAAAGTGATGTTATTTCTTTAATCCAGCTCTAAAATTCATAAATGAGGAACCAAAAGAAAGAAGAAAGATTAATCTTTCAAATGGTGATAATTTCATTATTACATAATTATTTAATAATTCATTAGTATGTTATTAGTTGTTAGATTCTGATGTCCACATTTGAATGAAATTAGCTTCTTTGTTATTCATAGCATGCCAAACATTTTGATAGATTCTTGTGCAACACAGTTTGACCTCCAAATTTTCCCTATTATATTTCATTCTTTTATAACCCTTCAATTAAGTTTGCAACCTTAATTCATAAGAAATCATTCAATTTAATTGGGTATAAAATTTGTTCTCTTGATGTTTTTGAAAATCAGGGACACAGTTTTGAAGATAACTGGTCAAGGAACAACGTGTGGTAAAATCAGGCATATAGGGACACCCGTCTAGGAGCTAATTATATTTAAAACTACATTTTCATGACAAAAATGTATGTGTCACAAGTGAATAAATAAGGATTTTCCTATTTAACCCTCATTAACTTCAATATCATTCACACATGTACCATGGGGATACTTCAGATTGGTCTTTAATCATAAATCAATAAGGTTTTGACCAGTAAGAAAGCATTCCATTTCAGCAATTCTAAATATATAAAGAAAATGCACACCCTATGCATCAAAAACCAGATCTGGCGGGAGAATTTATATCATTATTGACCTTGCTGTAAGTCAGTTGCTACTGATATGGTCAAAATTCCGCCCACCTGGATAAACATCAACCATTAATGATCTCAGAAGTTTAATTAAACATGGCATTTGCTTTTTTCAATATGGATTTTTTTATTTGATTAGTACACGAAACAATACATTTTGTTTTTAACATTCATTTCCCCAAAAATAAGTTATGCATGTGTACATAAAATCACCAGTTGGTCAGTCTAGAGGATTCTTATGGGGGATTTCTAGAATTATAATTGTATATAATGAAAATATGTAGTTTTACACAAAGTAGAATTTTCTTATTTTTGTAGTTTGAAAATAAAATGTTTAATTTGTGTTTTCTTTTAAAAAGACTTCATATTTACATATTCTCCTCAAGAAAATCTGATATAACCTTGCCATCAGCTTTAACATCAGCAACATTAATTGTTGTACAATTATATTTGTTTAATATCTGTACATTTATATTTGATTCCTCTATATGTCCAAATCATTTTTTTGTTTACTTTCTCCAGGCAGCTCCAATATAGAAATGTTATTTTATTTGGATTTCATTATCTTCTTTTTTCTATAAACCCCAAATTCAACCTCTTTTCTATGACTGTTATTTTTATAGCTGGTCAGTGGTCATAAAGCTATCAAATGATTATACTGATTAACCACAAAGTACTGCCCACATGTTCTTATTTGTATTAGTCAGACATGTGCATTTGTTTATAAAAACTAGTTATCAACAAAACTCATTAACAGTGCAAGATATTGAAACTTATTTTTCTTCTGTGGTTTTGTAATATTAAAACGTAACAAAAACAGCTGAAAATGAAATTTTGATAAAATTTAGTTGCTTTTGTATTGTGCTACCTTAAGTCAAAATAAAGAACGAAATTGATGTAAAAATTAAATTGAATTTAAAAAAATACATACCATTACAAGTGATATCTGTTTCAATGCCACTAACTCCACTGAATGAGGCACTATCCTTCATTGCATTCACAATATTTTCATCAGCAATGCTAAACTGTGTGGGTGGTGGTCGACCTCCTTTCCTGTCCATTTCCTTTATGGAGTAAGTAAATTTCTCTTTTGACCCACGACACATATTTCTATACTTGTTTCTGACTTCTGCTTCAGTTCTGAAGCATACACCAAGAGCATTTTTCCTTTGATTGGTTACTTCAGTGCTGAATCCCCCTTTCAGCAACTCCAACTCATTTGTGATACGACTACTAATTAAATTTGCCTCAATGGAGGTGAAATTAGCTTTTATGTCCCTTGGCAATTTCTTTGCAGTGTTTTCGGACAATTCAACTATCTTGGTAACAGGAAGTGAAGATTTTCTGTTCATTATGGGTAACAATTTATAATAAAAAAAATAACGAGTCTTAACGCAGTTTTAGTTAACATTGTCGTAAAACATTTTTGAACAACACATTTTAACGCATATGTTAGTTAGCGACTTAGTTAAGATTTAACGACTCGTTAGCCTTAATCATCGTTAAGGCTAACGACACGTTTGAACAACCGGGCCTGTTAATATAAAATTACACCTTGATAATTTTGATGTTTTCTTTTTGGTGTATGTCATTTTCTTTAACAGTTGCACCAAATAGGAGTGAATAAGTGATATTTTAACATCTATATAAAATCATGCAATGCAAATAAAGACTGTATTTGTTCTCACCATCAATTGAATTAGAACAATTTGACAAGCTTCTTTTTTCTATTTGTCCCTAAATCTCAAACCAATGAATTTAACAATAACAATAACGTTTTACTTTTGGTAAAATATTTCTCCTTAATTCAAGGTGCAGTTGATGATACTTAATGAGTAATCCATAGTGTTAAAATATTCCAAACTTTGCAAGAATCTTTTTTTTTTTTATGTTCACCATACTTCTCCTATCACAAAGTGTATATCAGCTATTTTAAGATTATTGAACCCAGACGGACAAATCATCCCATATCATCTATACATACAATTGTTTATTTTTTTTATAACCTACTTTCACTATCTATCTATAAATAGTAGTTAAATCAGGATAAAACAAATTGGGAAGTGATAATTACAAGTTAAATGTTACAATGGTAAGTAGTCTACTTCCCATTGTAACATTTCAACTTGTAATTATCACTTCCCAATTTGCTTTATCCTGATAAAAGTTCCATAGGTATCGAAAACTGTTGGTATCATTAAATTATTAACACATAACTAAAGGTTGTTTCTTATAAGAGTTTTTATATTTCATAGGTTTTATGATAATAATCCTGCATACTCAGGTATCCACTTTCGGGATTCTATGGAATTGAAGATTTACCAGCCACTTGTTCACTATGGCCTATGTTTTTTTTTAATAAATGTAATACTTAATATATTAAAATAAATTTAAATCTCTGCAATGTATAAACTTTCATCATGTTTATTTTTGGTTTGTGACCGTACTTGCATGTTTATTATGTCACTACATTATACAATTAGTATTTAAGTTAGTATATTGTGCAAAAAACAAGATATATTTACTTACAACCACTTTCAAAATCTAAACCTTGAACAGAGGTGAAAATTCAGGAATTGGAAATAAAATATGCAAAATATTTCAATATTCACTTCCATTCCCAACAAGCATATGCTTTGTATGCTTTAGAAAATAATTAATAACTATGCATACTACTTGCTTTAAAACATTGTTTTATAATAACATAAACTTATCTTACCCGTTCGTTGTACTTGATTGATATTACATCTCCTTTAGTTAAACAGGCAAAACTTCTCAACATGTTTCCTAATCTGTTGCTCAGTCAAGGATTTAATCAGAGAACTAATTGTCAAATTTTACTTGACCTCTAGATGGTATTTATGGTTTTGTTAATCTATATTGCAATTTCCTATTATTCAATACATAATAACTTTTGTACCAAATTATGAATACATTTTATTGTAAAATATATCATGAAATGATATGAAAATCTCAAATACTGTTGGTATCAGTATGAAAGTTCTTGATAAATATATATTCATATGGTCATTTCCATTTTTGGAAAATAAGTTGGCTAATAGTTATTGGTACAGTTGCAATAAATCTTATATTTTGCTGCCATCAATCAATGAACAGAATGTTGCAAATTTCTAATTCTTTCCCGACTGTTTAAGCTACACCAGTAAACACAACATTCAACCATCTATTCTATAACAGAAAAAGGCTGAATAAAATATTAACTGAATGAGGCAAAATATAGACAGACTTCAAGTATGTAATACAGTCATTAGAGGGGAAGGGCTGAGCACACGTACAACTGGTTTGAACCCACCACATGTGTGCTTGTACCCCATCTGGCAATCTGGACAATACATGTTGTTCATTGTTGTTTGTGTTTATCTTTAAGTGTGTTTTTCTGAATAGTCAGTTGTTGGTGATTGCTGGGATCTGTTGTGCTGTCCTAATGTTTTGGTAATTCTCTTATGTATTACAGTGAAACCTGTCTTAATGCAACCTCCTCGGTTTTTGCAGATGTTCTGCTAAATCAGATTGACAAAATATAAAAATTTGATATGATTGAACATATTGATTTTGATTTTGATTTTGCCATTTGATTAGGGACTTTCCGTTTTGAATTTTCCTCTGAGTTCAGTATTTTTGTGATTTAACGTTTTAGACAGGTTTTCGGTTTATGCAAAAATCGGTTTAGACAGGTTTGACTGAATCATTTTATCTCACTCAAAAAATACCATTGAAAGAACATTATCTGATTACAGGTTATCATTTGCCACTCAATTCAAGGTAATATTTCATAAGTGTTTTCTTGTCCATATGATTGACGGATGTTTTATCAAAACCATTGGTGTGACATGTGAACAGAATATGCCTACCCTTACTGAGTACCTGATATCACCCCCAGAATTGGTGAGATTCCTGCTGCTCAGTCTTTTGTTTTCTATGTAGTGTTTAGTTGACCGTGATCTGTTTAATCACCCTCATTTTCATATGAGTCAATAGAATATATGTCAATCAATGTACTAATTGATGCATTATAGGAAGTCAATGTTAAAGGTGTTCTGATTGTTCAAGATGTCATTTGCAAGGATGCCGAGTGTAGGCAATGCAATTAACAAGGACTGAAGATGAAATTATAATTATGCTAAAGAGTGAATGAGCAAGAATACAGTCCAGTTATTATGATCTTTAATCAGATATTAGAGTTTCAATGGTATTTTTAAGTGTGGTGTGATTATTTGACTATACTTATTTATTTGTGTTTTTTGTGTTTAATGCAACTTTCAACTACTTTGGTTACATCATGGCAGCCAGTTTTTATTGGTGTAGTAACCCCATACCTTTTGCAAGAAAACTGTAAACACAGCCAATCCCAGAGCATGGTTCGAACTCATAACTTAGGAGTTGACAGGTTTATGTTCACTGTAAATAAATTATTTAAACCACTTGGCAACTGTACAGCCCAACCCACCTCCAACCCGACTATACGTGTTACTCTATAAAAACTGCATATCTAATATTACCATTATTAAGTAGTAACATTTTACAAATATGTTTTGTAAAGAATACACAGCTTCGGGATATCTAATATCTAAGAAGTCAACAGACTGTGGCTGGAACTTTGTAAATGTGGCTACTTTCAAAGAAACATTCTCTACTTCCACAAGATCACCTTCATTTAGTAACAGGTTCCTCATCATCTGAAAATAATTTAAAAATGGTTCAATAGATAAAACATTTTTCCCTATGAATGGACATTGGTTATTCATCCAACACATTAAACAAATCTTTCTGAAGTTGGCTTCAATTACTAATTTACTACCATGTGTGTAACCCTATCATTAAACTGATAGATCCTTCCTTTGTCACGTACAAATTCCTAATACACCCTAATGTGTTTACCTGTTGATACATTGATCCAATAAGGTAAAATATTCTTCGTTCTTCTATCACTTACTTCCAATACACCACGATGTGTATACATATTATGTATCCAGTGAGGTATTTAAATACAAACTCTCTAATACAATGTATGCGCCTGTTTGTATACTTACCCAATTAGGTATATAAATCCTTCCTTCATTAGCTACAAATTCTAATACACCACAATGTGTGTGTCTGGCTTGTTGATTGTTCCTCAGTTTAAACTGCATGGGGTATTGTATACGTGAACGTGCTGTAAAATCACATTTTTCATTTTAGTTAGTGAATTATTTTGGTATGCATACACAGTATTAAACTGGGTGGTAAAAAGAGGAACATTAATTTGAAGTGTTGAAGTTCCTTTTATAAATCTCTCTAATTTGGAGTTTCAGCTTCAAAAATTCTTTTGAGTTAAGTATATGTGTTACTAGAGTACTTTCCATATGTAATTAGTGGTTTGCTTTTACAGTAGCCAGCATGTAGTGATACTTACTTAGTTGATCTAATGCAGAGGGAGGCATAATTACTGAAATGAAAAACACATTGAATTATGAGTAAACAGGTGAGATTTAAAATATATATATAATGTTCTCATTCAAACTTACGTCATGAAGCTTTCACATTGTCTTTATTATGTCTCTTTTTATTTCCATTTTGAATTCAGATTGTTGATGTAAGGTTTTGGCTGTTTCTGTAGAATTTATTCAAAACTACTTTGGTGCATATTTAGGGTATGATTTGATTTTTTATTAATAACTATATTTGAGAGATTTAGACCTTGTACTAGTGTTGTTAATTGTTCAATGTTAAAAATAGAATAAGGATCTGTTGTTTTTTTTGGGGTTAATTTGTGCTTTTATATATACACTCTAAATCTCCTTTAATTCATTCCAATTTAATACATCAAGACTTAATGAATAAGAAACATAAATCCATTGTCATATACTACTTTTCTGGAATCATATGAAATGTTTGAGATAAATGTTTGAGATAACTGTTTGAGCAATGAAAATAACAACTGCTTATCAATATTTCTGGTTGTCCTCCAAATTTGTCCTTTAATATGGTTCGGAAACACAGTTATCATCCTTTGATTGTTTGTTGTTGTCTACAAATACAGTCTCTAGTGTGGACAGTGTATAACTTGCAAATATTTTTCATACACCTTCCAAAAATTAATTTCTTTGTATTTTAAACCTTTATACTTTATACATCAAATAGTAAGTAGAGGGATGAAATTACATGTAATAAAATGGGGGTCATGAATTTTAAGGTAAAATAGTGATTTAGTCATGTTGGTCCAGTTAAAAAAGTTTAAAATTATAGTAGGTCTGAAGCTGTCAAATTGAATTGTTGTCCATATTTTGAGTTAGAGCTGACGAAAATTTCTATAATTTGTCCAAAAAGTAGTACACTACACTGTAAAAATCTTTTTGAGATAAAACAGGTCCTATTTTTTTTAATTTGTGTTTATTGTCTAAACAAATGCGCTACAAAATAAATGTGTTCTTGGGTCAAAATAACAATAGGAATGATGGTTACCAAAGCTTTTTAATCTTACTTTCTCCACCTCTCTCAACATCTTCTCTGTTATCTAACATGGTCACAGAATAACATCTGTATGTCTGTTTAAATCTACAAAGACCTCCGCCCAATTCAGGCCCAAAAATGTTACCTCCAAATCTACCAAACTAGAAAATACAAAATTATTGCTACTAAATCTGTTCTACATTCTATAGATTATGAAATTTATGAGATTTTTTAACATTATCATCCTTGATAATATCATCAACTATAAGTTATGTATTATTGTCATATTAATTAGATGTTAATCATTGTTTTTTTTTATATTTTGCTGTGGTTTCTTTTTCTATTAGCCACATTCTTATTCAGGTTTTCTCTGGATTTGATGGATAACTTGCTCTATCTATCATGTCTGTCTACATTGTATCTGACATCATCTGAAATTTTATATAATAAAAATCTTTTGTACAATCAGTTTGACAAAATGTTGGCATGTTTCTCTTGTTTTCCTATTTCAACGTGTTTAAAGATTTTTCTATATATATTGATAGTCAGGATGACTAGATACTGTCCTAGTACATATATTATCATGATTATCCAGTTGTCAGTAATGGTTTTATACAAGGGATGTCAACTCTGTGAAGAGTTAGTTATGAAGTACTTCTCGATTTTACCAAACTATATTTTTTTTACAATATAAGAACACAATTATACACATTTAATGCTGTGTGGGCTCTACATTATTACCTAGTATTATAAACCATAATTAGCAGCTCATTTATAATTGTACTTATTAAGTAAAAACAATTCATCTAATCTAATTCATAATTTGGTAAGTACATATATGAATATAAATTATTACCCTTACTACACAGTCAAACTGGTCAAGCAAAATTAACATTTTGTAATCTTAAAGAAACCACATTTACATATTCATGATATTGAGGAATCATTGGTGTTTTCTGAAAGAAAATTAACTGGAAAGAAAGATACAATGTTTCAACAGGAAACCAATAAGTCGAGTATCATTTCGGTATTCGAAAGTCAGAACTAACGAGCGATACTAGAGTACTCGAGTACATGTTTACATCCCTAGTTTATACAAACAGGGTGAATTGTACCAATATCTCAAAAGGTCTGTCAATGTAAACATCTTGTTAAAAAAGATTTCACCGATAAACATTGCATGAAAATAATTTCCTTACTTTTTGATGTTAATTGCTCAAACTTTTACATTACAACTCATTATATGACTCTTAATTAATAAATAAATCATTAAAACAGAATTGTTTCACCTCAGTGAACTGATCACAAATTTAACATATACTGATGACTACGACACAAGAAATAGTATGCCTAAACGGCTCTTACAAAAAATGTTTCTCTTATTTTCTGAAATTTTGGTGGTTTAATACAATAGGCAATGTTATTGAGCAATAAATGTATATTATTAATTATTAGTGCGCAGTTTGTATCAATTTAGATTTGTACATAAATTTATAAAACAATTGTCATTTCTGAACTATCAACTTTAAGTATATGATAATATTTTATAATTACCATTTCTGTATTATTTGTTTCCTTTGGATTTATCAGTGTAATTTTCTATATTCAACAAAATGACTCGGTTCAACTTAAATCGAAAGTAAATAACCAGTGCGAATTATTACCGGGTTTAAATGGCCATACGCTTCAAGTTACAATGGGGTTAATCTGTTAAAGTCTTCTCATTGGTAAATATTAGATGAATAAAGGGAAAACGGTACTATTTATTCTGCCATAGGCGACAATACTAACATTTTCTAAATTTACCACTTTTTATAATAAAAACCTGGATAAAACAGTTATGTGTGGTGTTAGTACTTTATTATTCTGTTTTAAAAATTGAAGCCAAATAGTATCATGACCAACTTCCAACGGAGCTTGTTTATGTTATCCATGCCCACCGTCATTTTACACCAAATTTATGAAATTTTGGAAGTCTTTTCCAATAATTCTCAAGAAAATATTTCAATAGGTTTCAAAATTTATATTGTAAATAAACACACTGCGGTTATTCATAGATAAATAAAAAAATATATTGTACCCTTACATTCGATCACAGCGCTCCTAAGTTGACTTCCTTCACCTGCCTTGGGTATACAAAAGGCCAACCTAATGCTGGGAAAATGTAATAGTTCCGTTTTCTCTATACTGTGACATAAAGATATAAAGAATTTTTATGACACCAATAATGCAATACTGGGTTATTGTGAAAACCTTGGCTATAATAAATACTTGTATGTCCCCATTACTTAAAGGACTATTGATCATTTTATGTCCTCACCCCTACATGCTGGTTTACCTCTTTCTCTACTTCTTTAAGATAAGGCTTAACAAACAACCTGTATCCAATCATATCTTATATTATTTAAAAAGAATAACAAACAGTTCCATTTAAACAGAAAAAAAATGACAGTTCCATTCAATTTGTATTAATTTTATCCAAAATTTACATCATAAGCACAAATTCAAGATTTTTCATACTAATCTCCATTCCATGCTTTAGTATATGCCATATTGTAGTTCAAAATTTCAGAGCTTGTTATAAAATCTATTATTCTGTCTTGAGATGATAAAAACAAAGATATTAGACACTTAAAACATTAAATATGCAAAATACTCAGCTGTAAAGTTGCCTATGTTGCCTGTATTAATCTATGAAAAAGCTGAATTATGTCCCTTGGGAGTATTAATTTCCAACAAAGGTCCTTTCAAACAGTAGAAAATGAAAAATTATATATGCCTGTTATAATCAAAGTTAGAAACTACAAAATGAAGCACTATTGAAATATTTGCTGCATGAATTGCCAAGAATGTGAACAATTCTTTACACAGGAGAGTATAAAGTCTATCTAAATTTAGCCTGAAGTGGGCCTCTATTTTTCTTAGATGGACAATTTTAACACTAAAAATGCTTCTAGTATGACCAAATATTGTCTTACTACATAAACAGTACAAACTTAACCAGACAATTTCCTATTTTAATAAATTATGTCTAGAGAAATACCCAAGTGATACATTTAGGGATTTACACAACAAAAAAAGCAAATATTTCAGTTAAAAATATTTGTCGCGACTCGAATTCTGGTGTTTCCAATTAAATTAATCATTTTGAAAGGTGAAAACAAATACAAAAGAACTATAGTTTGGTGCATTTTATACAATATAGTTAATATTGAAATCCTAGAATAAAGTTTTATATCAGTACCCATCAATTTGACTTATTATAATGACTCAGCACTTTTCTCAACACAGTATTGTTCTCAGTAAAAAATTTCTATTCTTTGTGATAAAAATCAAATGCACTAATCAAAAGCTTGATTGATTTTGATTTCCCTTGCTATCTTCGGTATAGGGAAGCGGTACTATTTATTCTGCCATAGGCGACAATACTAACATTTTCTAAATTTACCACTTTTTATAATAAAAACCTGTATAAAACAGTAATGTGTGGTGTTAGTACTTTATCATTCTGTTTCAAAAATTGAAGCCAAATAGTATCATGACCAACTTCCAACGGAGCTTGTTTATGTTATCCATGCCCACCGTCATTTTACACCAAATTTATTAAATTTTGGAAGTCTTTTCCGAAAAATTCTCTAGAAAATATTTCAAGAGGTTTCAAAATTTATATTGTAAATATACACACTGCGGTTATTCATAGACAAATAAAAAAATATATTGTACCCTTACATCCAATCACAGCGCTCCTAAGTTGACTTCCTTCACCTGCCTTGGGTACACAAAAGGCCAACCTAATGCTGGGAAAATGTAATAGTACCGTTTTCCCTATAAGGCTTTCTTAACGTCTAAAAGCAACAGTGGTCAACAGTCTAATCATCTCCGATCAGGACAGTCATCGGATAGTACGTCCACGACTGGCACTTACAATTAAATATTATATGAATGATCTGTGATTAACTCTTTTTAATAAAGAAATTAACGATTTGCTCCCATAAAAAACTTAATTATCGTAGTTATAGGTCGAGTAATCTCGCCTACCATCCTCTTAAACGATTTCTGTTTGAAAAACAGAAAATTTATATCATTCTCTTTTTCCTACTTCACCTGAATGAATAATGATAATAAGAAAGAATAATGTTTGTATATTTAATTAGGACAAGCTTGTATAGATTTGGGGCTCAAGCCCTAAAAATATATTCACAAGATATTCATGTAAAGCAACATCAGATGAAGTAAAATAAGAAATCCGATGCAAATTCAGGTATATTTCTATAAACACCTTTTTAGCTCTATCTGAATATTTTTGGGCAAATGACCACCAAAACATAATATGTTTTTCGGTTGATAGGAGTTACACCACCATGTCGTTATCTGTTCTCTGTTTTGGAGCATATACACGTGTCCCAAAACTTGTTCCAGTTGTTAAAGGTGATAAAATGTCGTCAGGTGTTAAACGAACATTTCTTCATATCTGCTCTGTATTTTGAACAATGGCATAACATCCTACACGTATATAACTTTTTTTCGTTATAACTAAGAGATTGAATTTAAAGTTTGGCACATCAACCTGCTTCTCGTAAGGAAACTCAAATTAAAAAAAAAACGTCTTTAAGTGAGTAGAACGGACTAAAAATTATGTATGTTAAGGTTAGAATTAAGAGAAATTAATTTTACAAAAACGATAAGATATGTTGTTGAAATATTTTACTATTTATTATCCATTTTAAGATAAGGTTCTATCGAATTTTGTACTTAAATGTTCGTTTCTTCCTCTGTCCATTCCCATAAAATGGTTAATTCTAGGACCAAGGTCCGTTTGCTTAGTGAAGTTTTACGAAATTGTTAAATTTTTGCTGAATATTTATAGAATTTTGTTGATATATTTTGCTGAACTTTTCTAGTCAAGCTGTATACAGATATATAGATTCTACACTATCAAGTGTAATACGATATTTATCCACTCTAGACAGTTAAATATCTAAAATTAAACTGTCGAGAGTGGATAAATATCGTTTTACACGAGATTTGGTGGTGGAATCTGTTTCTCTAATAATTTATAGATGATATACAGACAATTTTAATCCTTCTTTTCGATTGGTTTGCAAAAAGATGTGTTCTTTCTATGTGACGTTATCAGGCAAGGTCGCCTTTTTTCATGACTTCACCATGCGAAATTCAGAAGAAAGCAAGAAAGTTTGACGTCATAATCGAATTTTGACCAATGAAGAACTGAGATCAAACGGACCATACGTTGTTAGATAAAAATAATCAACGGGTCAGGAAAAGCATAAATCGGGTCAGAATTAGAAAAACGGAAATATTTCAATGACCTATATAGTATACAGCCATTAAAAACTGTTTTGGCATTTAGCGGTATAGCAACATTTGTAACCATGCATTACAATGAATTGTCCAAGAAAAATACTTTAAAATAAAAAAAAATCGAATACATATATTATTTTAATCTTTTTATCTAAAATTAGTATGATAGAGAACATGCAGTAAACTCCCTCCAACTACCTCGACAACTATAACTGGTATACATTGATCATCGTACGTCATTTAGAATAATTGTGCACTACAAAATATTGACAGTTTTATATATAGCTACCTACGAATAGTTCAGTGGTAGAGCTTTTCTAGAAAAAGGTAAAAAAACAAAAATACCGAACTCCGAGGAAAATTATAAACGGAAAGTCCCTAAGCAAATGTCAAAATCAAAAGCTCAAACACACCAAACGAATGGATAACAACTGTCATATTCCTGACTTGGTACATGCATTTTCTTATGCAGAAAATGGTGGATTAAACCTGGTTTTATAGCTAGCTAAACCTCTCACTTGTATGACAGTCGTAAAAAATTCAATTATATTGACAACGATGTGTGAACAAAACAAAAAGACATAATAAGTAAAAATGTCAAAAATAGGGGTACGGCAGTCTACATTGTTTTATAATCTTAATCACTATAAAAACAAACAAATATGTCAACAAAGAAAAACATAGAACAGTTTAGAATATTCCTGTTACAGATTATTATGTCAGTTTTGAAGTAAGTGTGAACCGATCCAAAATGTAATTGTCCAATGTATTGCATTGACTTAATAACATGGTTTTGCTGTTCATTCTAAATAATGTATTTACCCAGATTGTTTAATTATTTACAATTTGTGTGGATTACTATAAAGATATGGTTGTACCCAATGTTATTATTTGTACGGGATACGTTCTTAATACATATATTTTTTGTCAACAAGTATTATAAAAAAATATCGGTGATTCAAATTATGAAGAATGTTATTTGAGTACTGAATAAAATGAAAATTAAGATTTAATAACCCTTACAAAATATGATGTGTAAGCCATATTTAAATATTCTTAAGTTATACTCACTTTAAATTGTTGTACCTACCACATGTGTCACATACTCTATTTACAAAGTTTTTAAAATATTTTTGTGGATTGACTATTCATTTCATAACTAATTTGTACCTTTTCTCTGATGCAGCATATCCATAGTAAATGATAAAATGTCCAGTTGAGATACGATGACCCAATTTTAAAATTGTAAAATTCGGAATTTTGCAACAAAAACATCAGTTCAGCGATACAGGCCTAATTTATATGTATGATTATGTGTTTTGTGTCAACCCCTATAACAAATTAAGTTTTCAAAAATAACACTTCCGCCCGCCC